GCACATCGGGCATTTTCTTCTTTTGTGGGCCGATGTTTTTTTTGTTTTTGCAACGGTATAAACTATTAAAGGTGGTGGATTGGCCAATTGGTCATGATCGACTCTGGGCTGGACCAATTATAGCCGAGGAGGTCAGATGCACCCTCCCCCTTCAACGGATCAGCAATGAGCAATCACATATTATTGCTGCTGAACAAAAATGGAGAACAAAAAACGTAAAGGAGGCGCCGAAAAAATTAGGGCCAAAAAGAAACTAGCCCTTCAGGCAGATGCTGCCAAATGTGCCAAAATATCACAGTTGTTTGGTGGTGGCTATAGTGGAGCTCCTACTTCAGTAAAATTAGCAAGTGATGGAGGCCAGCAGGTTGAAGAGGGAAAGGGGAAGCAGGAGGAGGAGAGACCCGAGGCGGCCGCCGGTCCAAGTGGCAGAACTGAACTTGAGGTAAGAAGTTATGAGCTGCAGTCTATATCTGGGTCAGATTATAAACCAAGGTTAGGTGCAGCCTCTCTCAACCCGTAAATAAATGCATCCATCGATGATCCGGTTCTAATCCGCGCTCATATAGTTTTTTTCTCTCTCTCATCAAAACCGAATATGTTCATCAGTGGTACAGACAGTCTACATCAAGCAGAGACACGTTTGTGTGCATTTTATTTTGTGAGGGTTAGGGGTTCAGGGTCCCATCATAATTTCTTAAGAAGTAAGTACTGTATATGATGTCAGTATTTTCCAACATTTTCTAAATACTGTACCAGTACTGTGTAAAATGCCATCAAAAAGTCAATTAAGTGTTATTCTTTTTCCCCTTTCTTTCTTTGTCTCCTTTCACTTTTTAAAGGCCGCCATGTTAAAAAAAATATTTTGTGCTGCCATGCTGTTTGTTGATGTGGTAAATAAATAGTTTATGAAAATACCACAAAATCTGTCATTTATTAATTTTAATATTCATTAATGATCATGTCTCACCTCTAGTCTTCTCTGTCTTAATTTCAGGTTTCCACCATGTGTTGTAGATAGTTCAGGAGGAGGTTAACTTGACCAAGCAGTCTTTTGTTTTCCGCTAATTACTGTTTAGAATACCAGAATAGGGAGGATGATGTAGGTTTAAGTTTATTAGATACATATATACCAACAAGACAGTGTACATCGCTGTCAGAACAGCGTTTGTTTTCATTCAGGCTTTATGGCTTTGCCAATAATACTTGGTGGGCCGGTCTCTAGTCAAAATGCCCGGGCCGATTTTTTGTCCCAGTCCAGCCCTGACAACAGTTCACCGCTGGTGTTGTGCAACGAGTGCACCGAGCGCAGCTCACCCATAAACACCTCCAGCTAGCATCGTAAGCACAGCTTGGGATTGATCAAAGCTGTGCTAATTAGCTTAAAGAGCTAAGCTAACATGCTATTTATGCTGACGATACCTGCTAATTATCGCTAACACATAAATAAAATACTACAATTTCATTCACCAAAACAACTGGAGCAGTGGCTTCTTGGGCAGTCTGTTGTACAATTAACAGCAGAGCACGGCATAATATTCCTCCAATCAGCTGGGCTCACTCCAGCGACATACTCAGAGGATGACAAGTTGAGAGCCAAAACCTTGATCAGTTGGGAAACAACTGCTGTGTTATGAGCTGGATAAGACAACCTGCAGGAAAACCACTGGAATGGATTGGGGTTTCCTGGGTTTCTTCCGGTAACATTTCTGCCAGCAGTGTGCAAGGACGAATAGATTTCACAAGAGATAATAGCAACAGCATGGTGAATCTGAGACTCTCCAACTTAAAGCCAGAGGACTCTGCTGTGTATTACTGCGCCAGAGTCTCACACTGGTTAAAGGAAGCAGAGAGACTTTACAAAAACTCCTCAGAACATTTGTTTACAAAGACCTACAGGTGGCAGTAGAAGATATGAAGTCAAATGACACTAAGGAGAGTATGACAGTGCCTCTAAAAACACACATGCACACTATGAAAGCAACAGCTGATGTTGTGGTTTCTGACTTCCTCATTGTTACATTTAATATCTTTATTTACTTTTCTACAACAACAAATAATAAGTTAACAATATTCCCATTTTTGATTTTTAATAGCAAGTGTTAGGATGTATTTGAGATTTAAAAAAGATCATAATTATAATCAGAATATTAAGGAATGATGCGGTGTGTTTCTCTGTGAGGAGGAGTCAATGTTGTTAACATTGATGCTTCATGTGTTTGATTCTATGCAAACTCAGTGACCTTCCTTGTTACTCAGCTATAAAAACTACCCATCAGGCTGTCAGTGGAGTTCACAGCACGTCACTTTCAACATAAACCATGTTTTCTGTAGCTCTGCTGCTGCTGTTGGCAGCTGGATGTGAGTCTCTCTGGATTTGTCAAGTCTTTTGCAGTATAACTTGATCATTTGTTACTAAACATTTTCTTTTTCTAAACAGGTGTGGAGTGTGAACAGTTGACACAGCCAGCCTCTGTGACTGTGCAGCCAGGTCAACGTCTGACCATCACCTGTCAGGTCTCTTATTCTCTTAGCAGCTACTACACAGCTTGGATCAGACAGCCTGCAGGGAAAGGACTGGAGTGGATTGGAAGCAAATATACTGGAGCTTCATTCTACAAAGATTCACTAAAGAACAAGTTCAGTATCGACTTAGACTCTTCCAGCAAGAGAGTGACTCTAAACGGACAGAATGTGCAGCCTGAAGACACAGCTGTGTATTACTGTGCCAGAGATCCACAATAACACAAACCATCAGCAGACCTGAACAAAAACCCCTCAGTGCCTGAACACTTATAACATGAAGTCACCAGAGGAGGAGCCCTCAGACCACTAATGACTTCAACACCATGCTCACTTTTAAAGAGAGAAACAGACATATTTAGCAATGAAAAAGTAATAGGAATATTAAATAGTTTAGTATATAATCATAATAATTTGCCAAGAAGTTTATATTAATCCAAAAATTGTTATTGTGTTACAAGTGAACAGTGTGTGTTAGATTTTTGTTCACTGTAATATGAAAATCATTTTGATTACAATGGCTAAAAAGAACATAACATATTTTGCAGGTGTTGCAACTTCTACATAACAGTTTTCCAACAAATAAGGACTTGTGAGGACGAGTCAGTGCAACGACTAGTTGTCTGCCACCTTCACTAATCTGACTACAGAGAGGAGAGAGTTTTCACTGTAATTTGTTTTATGCAACATAAAATAGTATGTATGTCTGAGTTGATCATTTTTTTGTTTTGACTGAAAAACATGGGTGTTCATGCCAGGGAGGGTTATAATCAAGGGCAACTGGACTTGAAGATAAGGGAATCGCAGCCATTTAACCTCTGTGGGCTTGTTATCAAGGTGATGGATCCTACTTGTTTTTTTAATGCTCCTGGCTGTTGCAACGACCGTTGTTGTGGTCTGAATGACTGTGAGCGTTTGATCAAACTCCTGGGAAGAGATGAAAGGAAAGCATTGTAAATGGGGGGTGGTGATGGCGCAATCGATAAGACATATGGTGTGAGAGACCCATGTTCAATTCCCCACTGTGACCCATCCACCATTCCCTGAGCAAGACACTTAACCCCTAGTAGCTCCAGAGGAGTGCAACCTCTGTATAGCAATTGTAAGTCGCTTTGAATAAAAGCTTCAGCTAAATGAATCAGAGCGGAGGCGTACACTGACCGCTGCAGACACCATGGACACAGTTTACTTCTGTTGATACAACTTTCTGGAGTCAGCTTGGCAGATGCGTTCCACACATGTGCAGTACGTTGGTCGATTGGTGCGCTGGTAGCGTAGTGTTCCCACAGTCACAAAGAATGTGAGGCAAGTGCGAGCCTACTTCACCCTTTGATGACGATTTTTTCGTCACACGGACCCTAGCGGTCGCTCGCATACTTGCGGATGTGAAAAGTATAAAACTTGCTTTTGCTCTCCTCCTCCTGTTTAGTGATAGTCTCTCTATTCTGGTGTAAATTACCTCTTTCACTCCTCTTGCAAACCATCTGTCCTAAAATCAACATTATAATATAACACACAACATTTGTCCTCTTGGAGGAATGATTGATGTACAGTAGTGGAGACCAGGGATGGTTGTAAAACAGTTCATTCTGCACATGCTCAGTTTAGTCCTAGTTCCACATGTGAAAAGTAGCACCCTGTGGGAGGCACAGCCTTTGCTTCATTTATTTTTGTACTAGCATTGTCTTTTGTTGTTAAACTCATCAAACTTCATCACATTTATTGTGATATTGATATCTGATGACACCTATCTGTCAATATTTTTAAATGTCCCGCCCCATCCAGGCTGTGATTGGTCGTTTCACCATATTAACAAGCTACATTCAGCACACGGCTGCTTGAAAGGCACCCCAGCTTCTCGTCTCCCTCATCTCTCTCCGCCGACAGAGTTTAGCAGGCAGGCGAGAACAGGAACAGGTGAGCGTGACGCTCAGAGAACCTGATATGGAGAGGGCAGAGGAGAGTACTGGCAGCTTGGGAAAAGTCCTGGTACACAAGAAAATGCCCGGGTATGCCAAAGAGTAAAATGTCGAAGTGCCTGTACTGCGTACCGGAGCGTACAGCCCCACTTCAAGCACTACACACACACACACACAATGAAAGTGCTGATTAAAAAGCTTTCATTTTCATGTTTTTCTCATATTCCTTATAATATAATGTTACATTTCCCCCCAGGGTACATCTAACCCAGACTAAGGGGTAAATTGTAACATGTGATGGAGACTAAACCGTGCATTTTCTGCCTGTGTTGCAGAGATAACAGCTACACCATTTCATAGCAGACATGTGTAGCTAGTTTATATCACATTTTGAATGCACTGGCTTAAAAGAGCTCCAACAGACAGAAATGTTGAAACAGTAACTGAGATCCAAGTGAAATCCAGCTCCTCCCTATGAGGAGGAGTCAATGCAAAACTCAGATGTCTTCCACCTCTACTTATCTGACTGCAGAGAGGATGACAGAGAACAGTGGACACACAGTTTAACATGATGGACTATAGGACAGGACTGCTGCTTTTAACTGTCTGCTGGGCAGGTGAAGATCTTCACTGATCTTAATTTAGTTAAGTTTAGTTTTCTTGTAATGTTTGTTGCATGTGATTATTTTCTTTGCTGTCTTGACAGGTGTTGATGGTCAGACTCTGACAGAATCTGAACCAGCGGTTAAACGGCCTGGAGAATCTCACAGATTGACCTGTACAACCTCTGGAATATCATTCAGCAGCAACTGGATGGCCTGGATCAGACAGGCTCCTGGAAAAGGACTGGAGTGGGTTGCTACTGATGCTGGTGGCAGCAGCAAATACTACTCTCAGTCAGTCCAAGGCCGTTTTACCATCTCCAGAGACAACAGCAAAGAGCAGCTGTATCTGCAGATGAACAGTCTGAAGACTGAAGATTCTGCTGTTTATTATTGTGCTCGAGAGCCACAGTGACTGGAGTTGGTTGAGCAGCTGTACAAAATCCTACAGTACTCATCTTTACTGTGCTGATAGATCCTGAGAAAGACTTCTGTTTGTCTTTGAACTTTGTTATTGTCATTGTTATCATGGAAGAATATACAAGTGCATCAAAAAATAAATAACCACATTAAAAAAAAATGTTGAGCTGCACCAAAACATCTGTGCATTCATCAAACCTTACCATCAGGTTTCAAATTCAAATTAAATTCTTGTAAAAATATGAACTCACATACATGTCAGGACAGGGGGCCAGAACTCAAACAAAGACCAGAGTGTCAGTTCAAATAAAGGAGAATTTATTTAAAACAAGCGCAAACGGAGATGTGGGCTGGGCCGTAGATGTTCTGGTTGGCCTGAGGGTTTGGGGTCTGGGTTCTGGTGCTCTAGGTCTCGTGGGGCTGGTGAGTAATCAGAGTCCAAGCTGGTACTCTGGAGTCAAGACAGGAAAAAAAACTAGTTAACTCTCAGGATCTCAAAAAACAAGATAAGATTCAGAAAGTTCAAGCCAAAGGTTGGCTGGCATGTGCATGTACTCAATAGTGCAACAATTCAGCAGGGATTGGAAAGTTGGTCTGGCTTTTATGGGTGAGTAGACTGCAGGATGTGCAACAGGTGTTCTTGATTGAAGTGATGAGCCCAGGTGAGTAGACAGGAGCACCGGCGAGCACGCCCACCAGCAGTCTCTGAGCATGAGGGAGAAAGCAGAACACAGAGACGTACGCAAAACGTAAACACACACAGCAGACATACCAAAAGGGTAAAAGAACTCAAAAACTACATTCACACGCATAGCATCAAGAAAGCCAGGGTCACGACCGGGGGGGGGCAGAAAATATGTTGTCTCCCAAACTAGACACACAGGTGTGCTGATAAACAACTTTATTTTTAACATTGCTGTGTAGAGGTGCAGCTCATTTAAGCTCTTTCAAAAAACTTTGTTTTTTAAATAAAAAATTATTTCTCAGTAGTCTGGTCAATTGTGAAGACACACTGTTTAAGATTTAAATAATAATAATTTAAAAGATTATTCAACAATATGCAAATATAAGTTGCTCATAATAATAATAACTGAGAGGTGTGAGGCCAGGGGAGATTAAAGCCCATAGGCCTCACTGAAGAAGTGTGTTTTAAGCTGCAGGTGGCAAGAGGAAGCTTGTTCCAGAGTGATGGTGGGCCACAGAAGGCTCTGTCACCAAATGTCCGGAGCCTGGAATTAGGGACAGCAAGCAGGTCCTTGTCAGAGGACCACAGGGACCGTGACTGAGTGTAGTAGATCTATGAGGTGCAAGTCCATGGAGAGATTTGTACATCAGGAGGAGTATTTTATATTTGATCTGGGACTTAACTGGCAGCCAGTGAAGCTTCTTCAGGATGGGAGTGATGTGAAGTCCAAGTTTTGTGTGGGTGAGCATCCTAGCCGCAGAGTTCTGGACATACTGGAGTCTGTCAGTAGCCTTGCTGGGCAGACCGAACAGGATACCGTTGCAGTAGTCAAGTCGGGAGGTGATGAAGGAGTGGATGAGGGTCTCAGCTACAGAGTTGGAGAGGCACTGTTGGAGTCTGGAGATGTTCTTAAGATGGTAAATGGCAGTTTTAGTAGTGTTTTTGATGTGCTGTTGGAAGGAAAGAGTGGAGTCCATGATGATACCCAGGTTGCGTACTTGAGGGGTGTCAGGGAAAATAATTCCTTCCCAAAGAATACGGAGTCAAATAGATGTGTTGAATCATTTCTTTATGTAACGTGGCCACGGAGAGAACGCACGGTTACTCTGCCGAACTCAGCATTTCCTCCCCTTAAGTACAGAACAAGTACAAAGCAAACAACAGCCAACAAATGGTAGATGAAGGAAAACAAATGGCAGAGTATTAGCATACACTCAAAACTCTTCCTGAGCTAAGAAAGGAAATGTATGTGGCATCAGATGTTTCTCTGTCTCTTGATTGGTCTATGTTGAAACTCCCACCTAAATGCCAGCAGACGTTTATTGTAAATCAGTCAACTTTTGATTAGGGACAAAAACCCTGTGACCAATGCTAATTTCTCACATGTTCGTTACAGTGAAATCCTAAAAATCAGCAACTTATAATGTATTTCTCACAGGGGATGCAGAGATTGAGCAGCCATCCACATCCAATGTGATCACACCAGCCTTTTTGAGAAGTGACTGTGAGGCAAACACCATGAGTTCTGTTTTGTCTTTTTCAGTTTGAGGAGGTTACTGTCCATCCAGTTCTTGATGTCCTTCAGGCAGTTAAGTGGCACTGGTGGAAGAGGAGTAGGAGACTTAGTGCTGATGTAGAGCTGTGTGTCATCACTCATAAGGAAGTGAAGTGTGTGTGTGTCAGTGAGAGGACAGAAGAGCTCACATCAGTTCAGCTTCAACATCAACATGTTCTCTGCAGCTCTGATACTGCTGCTGGCAGCTGGATCCTGTGAGGAGCTTTCAGTGGATTCACACTAACAAACACATTAGAAACACTGAATAGTCAGATGAATGATGGAGATAATGTTGATTTCTGTTTCCACAGGTGTGAACAGTATTGATCTCATCCAGCCAGACATGATGGTTGTGCAGCCGGGACAGTCTTTGTCCATCACCTGTCAGGTCTCTGGTTATTCTTTGACTGATAGCAGCTATGCAACAGGTTGGATCAGACAGTGTGAAGGAAAACCAATGGATTGGATTATACATCGATATGTAGGATGCAGCTTTTACCAAAATAATGCTCTAAAGAACAAATTCCTTTACAACACATACACTTCAACTTCATCAGTGAAATTAACAGGACAGAATCTGCAGCCTGAGGACACAGCTGTGTATTATTGTGTACGTGGCTCCACAGTGACACAAACCACCAACAGACCTGCACAAATTCATTTTAGACTTCAACTTAACAGTCTACAGACAGGCTTTTGTATTTTTGGATTATATGATAAAACTATACAAAACAATAATGGGATCCCATCTCTGGATGTGAAATTTTTTTACATGGAAGGAAAAGCAACTTTAAAAAAAAAAAGATTTAATAATAAATGCGACAATTCAATGAAACTAGAACAGACTGCCTGAGAGCCCCTCCCTCCCCATTGTATCCTAATGCAAATCTTCAGTCTGCACAGTGTACTTCTGTCCTGCTCTTGTACCTTGTGTGGAGCATCAGAGGTCACATCTTTAAACTCATTATGATAAGCACAATCATTATATATGCAATAAAGCAGCCTTGCCCACCCCTCAGAGTCTTATGCAGCATTCAGACCAAACGCAAATTTTCTCCTTGCGACACTTTCCTCGCGTGAGTACATTCGCTGCAAGTGTTCACACACAAAGCGAGAAGGCGATTTTAACGCGATAACGTGAATAAAAACAACTTGTCATTACTACAGCTGTATGAACCCAAAGTAAACATTTTGCTGTGATTAAATAGCAATAAACAGATTAAACTGATGCCGAAATAACCACAACATGATGCAGATTTGTTAAACATGAATTCATGCTTTTTCAGGTCTGTCAGCAAGACAGCAGGACTACAACTTCTAAAATGTTTGTTTTCTGATTGGAGTTTGGATCGATCAGGGCTATTGTATGCTAACTTGGTCACAGTAAAGTACAATGATAGCTGGAATAAAGCTACAGAGACATGTTTTCTGGTAGTTCAACCTCCTCGCTTTCTTTTCTCCAAGTAATGTCCAGTTTGGTTCGGTTTTTATCTAAATTTGAAGTCATTGTCCAACACTAACAACACTGAAACCGGATGTGTACGGAAGCTGGCTGCTGAGAAGCTCCAGTAACTTAAACTTAAATAAAAGCAGTTAACTCCAAGCTCCTCCCGCGAGTAAACGACGTAATTGTCAGAATCCAGTCCGACTACAGGTGTTTATTTGTCCAAAGGTTGCAGCGCTGCTCTCTGCTCCTCTTCCCCAAGTTTAGCAGCTCTCCACCGGCCAGCAGATTTTAAATCCCCCGCTCTGCCCGGCCCTCTCCACACATTGCTCTGAACCTGTCAGTGACAAACGGACATTCTCAACAGTGATAGGCTATCGCGACTCAGCGTCATGGGACTTTCAACTCACACGAATTCCTTTGCGTTGCCTTCATGTTGCCAGCCCCGCCCCCTTCGCGTCGCTTCACGCCGCCCGACAGGAAGTCGCGGCTCTACGCATCTTTGCATTGACTTTGTATGTAAACTCACCGCCCCAAACGCTTGCTTCGCTTTTGGTCTGAAAGCACCATTAAGGCTGTATTTAGTGAGACATAACCGGAAAGGTGGAGGAGGTCATAGGGAGTCCAGCCCCTCCCCCACACGATCCTCAGGCATGCCGGAGCGCCCCAGAGCAACACCGGGCCATAGGGGCAGGCACCAACCCGCCCCACAAGGGAACAGGCCCGTAACTGTCAAGAGTAACATTGACAGTTACTGGTGGGGAGAAAAGACTGATTTTCTGTTTAGTGTTAATCACCATCTAACTTAGCCAGTTAAAAGCTACATTTAGCCTTAGATGTTTTATGAATATGGTCACTTGAGCACAGGTTTTATCAGCTGGCCATTTTTATGCACATTTAAGAGCGCAACTTGCAACTTTTATTAACAATAATGGAAAACTGAGGCTTATCAGTAGCAGTAATAACACTGACCATTTGTGCAGTTCTATCACCAAAATTCATTCATAATGTAGAGTATAATAACCTTAAAAGTGAGAACACAAAAAGTGGTCTACATCTTCTCAAGCACACATCTTCCAAAAGCATTGTCAAACGTAGGCTATGTACTGTATCACCTTAAATACCCGAGCAAGCATACAGGAACTGTTACTTCTTCTACTGCTCACACGCTCACACACACACACACACACACACACACACACAGTATCCCACATTCATTGATCCACCACACTAATGTTAATTAAGTTAAATAGTTCTAGATGCAATTCAGTATACCAACAATCACCTGCTGTTACAGTTACGGGAATGATAACGATAATGACAACGCATATGCTACTTTCAATCACCAGGTAACGTTAACATTAGGATAGCATCAGCCTCCTCTGGCTCGTTTTCTGTAGT